GTCAAAGGAACCCATCACAATTATTATCCAAGTAGATTGCTTTGCTTCTCGTTAATAGCTTACATGTAGCTTTCTCAAAGTCCGCATTTTGCATCCGTTGAATATAAGGGGCCAAATAATGGAATACTTTCTCAGGAATTTTAATAAATAGTTGGTGAGCACAATAAATAATGAAGAAAGCTAAGCAATTTGAGAAGTAAAGATCACAAGATGATCTGTAAAATAATTGAATGGGAAGAAATATATCTCAAAATAATAAATACCAGATAACAATCAAATGGCCCATAAATAGTCAAGGTGCCAACCAACAAAGCTACAAAATAGCAACCACTATGCTAAAAACTAAAACACGTTAAACTACTTCTTCTTAATAACTAGGAAACACAAAGACACGTACAAAGAAATGGCTAAATACGAGGAAAAATCTAAAGACTTATCCAACAAACCCTTCTCTAAACTGAACATCAGCAAATGAACAGTTTAATGGTTGTTAAAAGTACAACCACCAAGCAACTCCCTTTGTCTCCTAAATGCTGATAACTTAAGAGGCTTTGTAAAAATGTTTGCTATTTGATCTTCAGTCTTGCAGTAGATCAAATCAATGACTCCTTCATTTGTGAGATCCCTCAAAAAATGAAATTTCACATCCATATGCTTACACCTTCCATGCAAAACAGGATTCTTTGAAAGTTTGATTGTTGAACTGTTATCACAAAAAATAAGCATAGGACCTTCTTGTTTGACTGCAATTCTTCAAGAACTTTCCTCAAGCAAATTGCTTGACAAGCACATGTTGTTGCTGCAACAAATTCAGCTTCAGTAGTTGAAAGAGTCACAATTGATTGCTTCCTAGATGTCCATGAAATTGCTGTTGTTCCCATGATGAAAACATAACTAGATGTACTCTTTCTATCATCAAGATCTCTTGCAAAATCACTATTTGTGAACCTAAACAACTCTGACTTTTCTCCATTTTTATAGAACAAGCCATACTCAACTGTACCTTGTAAGTACCTAAGAATTCTTTTTGCTGCCACAAGATGAACTTCTTTTAGACAATCCATGTATCTATTGATAAGACTTACAGCATGCATGATATCTGGCCTTGTTGCAGTCAAATACATCAAGGTTCCCACAATTTGTTTGCACAAAGTGCTGTTAATTTCCTTCCCCCTAGGATTCCTGACAAGCTTCAAACTTGGTTCAATTGGTGTGCTGACAGGATTACTATTCTTCATTCGAAACCTGTCTAAGATGTCTTGAACATACTTCTTTTGAGAAATAAAAATACTTGCATCAGATTGCTTCACCTCTATGCCAAGATAATAATGCATCAATCCAAGATCTGACATCTCAAATTCAGCCATCATAGACTTCTTAAACTTATCAAACATAACCATATCATTTCCAGTGTAGATTAAGTCATCTACATACAAGCAGACAATAAGCATCTTCCCACCTTCTGATTTTATGAAAAGTGTATGTTCATAAGGACATTTTTCAAAACCTTTCTTTAGAAAATAAGATTCAATACGACTATACCAAGCTTGTGGGGCTTGTTTTAGTCCATATAATGCCCTTTTTAATTTATACACTTTATGCTCATTTCCAACCTTAATATAACCAGGGGGTTGATGAATAAATACCTCCTCATCCAAGTCTCCATGCAAGAAGGTTGATTTAAGATCCAGTTGATAGAGTGGCCATGAATTCTGTGCTGCCAAAGCAATTACCAAGTGAATCATATCATGCCTTGCAACCGGTGCATAAACTTCTTTATAATCAATACCAAATTCTTGCTTGTAACCTTTGGTAACTAGGTGGGCTTTGTATTTTTCAATCTCACCATTCTCCTTCAAATTTGTCTTGTAGACCCATTTTACTCCAATACCCTTCTTCCCTTTTGGAAGTTCAGTTAACTCCCAAGTATTGTTTCTTTCAATGGCTGCAATTTCTTCATCCATTGCCTTTTGCCATTTGGATTCTTTGGCAACCTCTTCGAAAACTATAGGATAACAATCGAAAAATAGAGAAAAATGAGTAAGTGTGTCCTCAGAATGGTCTATTCCAGTTACCTCATAATCAGTCATCCATGATGGTCTCTTTCTAACCCGTTGTGACCTCTGTTCATCCTCTTTGGCTTCTGCTGGAGATTGAGCATCTTTTAGAGCATTTGAAGTGGATGCTAATTGTTGCTCATCCATATCAAGTTGCTGCTGCACATTCTCAATTGATTGTTGTTTTTCTTCATCATCACCACCATCAAAATCTACAAAAATACACTTACTAGAACCATTTTTACTCCCTGGCCAAATCTGTTCTTCATCAAAAGCCACTGATTACAATTTTCTTGGTACTTGGATTATAAAGTTTATAGGCTTTTGATTGATCACCAACACCAAGAAAGATGCACTTTTCTCCCTTGTTGTCCAGCTTTTTCCTCTTCTAATCTGGAACATGAGCACAAGCAACACACCCAAAAATTCTAAAATGATCCACTATTGGTTTGCATCCACTCTAAGCTTCCTCTAGTGTCATGTCCTTAACAGCAAATGTGGGACTTCCATTCAAAATATGCATGCTCCAATTGACTGCCTCTGGCTAGAAATTTTTTGGAATGCAACTCCTTGTCAAAGGACTCCACACCATGTCCAAAATAGTGCGATTCTTCCTTTCACAAGCACCATTTTGTTGAGGTGTATAAGCTGTTGTAATTTGCCTCTTAATCCCCTGATTGTCACAAAATTTTGCGAATTCATCTGAGCAATATTCTCCTTCACAATTAGTGCGAAGAACTTTGATTGGACTACCAGCTTCTTTCTCAACAAGCACTTTATAGCTTTTAAAAGCTACAAAAACTTCAGCTTTATGTTGCAAAAAATAGACCCAAAATTTTCAACTAAAATCATCAATAAAGGTTATGAAATACCTCTTCCCTCCATTTGATGCAGGATTTATTGGCCCACAAATGTCAGAGTGCACAATTTCTAGTGGCTTCTTGGCTCTCGATGATTTTCCTCTTGGGAAAGGACTTCAAGACTGTTTGCTAACCACACATCCTTCACAAACATCAGAAAGACTAGTAAACTCTGGAAGCCCAGTGACCATTGTTCTCTACTGAAGTGTCTTTAAGCCTCCAAAATTCAAGTGACCATAGCAAAAATGCCATAGCCAAGCCACATCATTTAATCTTGCTGAGAAGCATGTCTAACTAGGAGTTTTAAGATGGAGAGAAAACATCCTGTTTGGACTCATTGTAGCTTGAGCAATTAAGCCCATATTATTGTCATGAATTCGGCATACTCCATTTTTTATGACAATTTCATAGCCTCTCTTGTAATTGACCAATACTTAGCAAATTTGTCTTCAATTCTGGCACATAAAGAACATTCGAAATAGTTTGAGTAGCACAATCTCTAGTTCGAATGTTTACCTGCCCTTTTCCCATGACTGAGATTTTTGAGTTATCTCCAAATTTCACAATATCTCGGAATGATTCATCTAAAGTGGAGAAAACAGACTTATCTCCACACATATGGTTGCTGCAACCAATGTCGAGATACCACTGATGTCTCGCCCCAAATTAATACCCTTCGACTAAGCGGTTGTTGTAGCGTAGATTTAGGTGTCGAATGCATAGGGAAGCTATATTAAATCAATAAAAAGAGTTGTCAAATGAGAAATTAAATTAAAAAAATGAACTCTAAAATTAGGAATAAAAATATTTAAATAAAAGATGATAATTATAAAAGATTGAAAACAATATTATGATGAACAAGATTTCAGGGTTCACTTAATTGATTTGTTTAATTATTATAAATTTTGATTCCTATTTATTACTCCATTGTATGTTTCACATCCCAAACAAACAATCGAAAGATTTAATTTTGAAGACCAATAATAATAACCAACGTATTTATTTTGAGAGAAATTAATTTCAACGAAGAACAAACTGATCTATCATTACAAGCTATCCAAGAGTGACAATATATCTAATAGATAATACTGCAGTAAAAAATCAACCCGCAAACCAAATCTACCAATTAATTATATTCTAACAAATTACACATAAAAAAAGCATGACTAATCTTATATGGACTTGATAAATATAATTTTTAGGGTTTTCAAATCTGAAAAATAATTAATAATCTCTCAAAAATAAAATTAAACAATAAAATCAATGAAAGAATCAAAATAAAATAACAAATTAAACTTCTCAATTAAGATCCTCTATAATCTTGTTGAAAGTTTAGCTGCCCTTTAACATAATTTTCTAACCTTGAAAAAGAAAAATAGAAGCCTAGGAAATGTTTTTCTAAATGCTAAACCTAGTTTTCAAAGCTCCTATTTATATTAGGAATAAAATAGGAGTGTTTGGTAATTAGAATAGCAGCCCTAGGGATTTTTTTTTTTCTTCCCGCACAACCTTGTCGGTGAGGGGTTGAAACTAGTGTTTTTAGAACTGGACTGGATCGGCCGGTTTGACCGGTTCGACTGGTTCGATCGACAACCGGTAGGTAAAACGGGTTGGTTGAAACCTCTAACTCATTTGGGCGGTTGGATCACCCAAACCCGGTGGAATCGGCAAAACCGTTCCACCCAGAAGACTCGGCAAACCCGCCGGGTCATTTACACCATTCTTTCCTCTCTCTTTTTTTCATATTTTTTAGTGATTAGTCTATTTTGTCCCCTTTTTTTTCAATGTTACCTTTTTTACCCTTCTACCCATTACAATTTTAGATAAAATACACAAAATCTAAACTTAATTACTTAAATTCCTAAAATTAGAAACCCTAAGCCTCATTCCTCCTAATCAACTGTTTCTTCAAGTTCCACTTCTCCCTTCGGCCTCCATCATCTCCGGCTCCAGATCTCCACTGCGCTTGCTCTCTGATCAGCTTGTTTCCTCCAGTCTCCATCACCTCCAACACTGCCAACGGCCAGCATCATTTCTTGCCCCTTTCGGCTTTCCAGTCTCCATCACCTCCAGCACCACCAACATCAGTTCTTACCCCTTTCCAATCGTGCTCTTCGATCAGCTCTGTAGTCGAAAGAACAGTCAGTCAAGGAGCGAAGGCATGGGGAGGAAGCTCGATGCTGTACTCGGATGGAATTTCAAGACAACTAAGTTCAAGCAGCTCGTCACCCTTGCTCTCTCTCGTCTCATCGTTCTCAAGAGCCAACGACAAATCCGCTGCTCCCAGGCTCGCTTCGATGTGGTTCAACTCCTTGAATGTGGCCAACACGATCACGCTCTCCCTCATGTGGGATTTTGATTCTTCTGAAGTCCTGCCTCGAATCTTGGATTATATATGCAGATTTTGGAAATGCCCAAAGCTGAAAATTGCATTTTTATGACTGTGTGCGTTTGACCCGGTCGGTTGATCGGTTTGACTGGTTGAACTGATCAAACCGATAATCGGTGAGCAAACCAATAACCGGTGAGCAAATCAGTAACCGATGAGCAAACCGATTCTCTTACCAGTTCGGGTTTCAAAACATTGGTTGGAACCTTAATGAGGGTGCGGAACCTACTTCATTCTGTTTTTGTGCCACATTGATCAAGGGTCGAAACCTGCTTCAAGGTGCGAAACCCTTGATGTTTCTGTTTTCCATTTGCGCTAGTCAAAGCATGCTTCACGAATTTTGCTTCTAATAAAAAATGGGGAAATCCAACTTGGGCCTTCAAACTCCCAAATTTACTCCTTGGATCCTCATCTTTCCAGCTCTTTGCATTCAAGTCCTTTTCTTTTAATTCTCTCCATTTAATCATCAAACCTTCAATCACCACAAGATTTGCACAACATGAATATAATGAACACTTACGAAATTACTTGTGAAAAATAAGACTCTTAAAACCATAATTCCATAAATGTTAATGATTAAGCACACTTTAAATATACATTTTCTTTCTTTTATCAACCACAAATTCTTGTTAGTTTCTTCCCTTGCATGACAGACCATCAACAAAGATATTTCTTCCTCTGTTTCTACAAAATGAGACTTTTCTCCACCCTTCTTAGGCAGACTAGCTTGACATTCAGATTTGTAATGTCTATACCTGTGGCATCGATAGCACTCAACAGTAGACTTGTCTACAAACTTTGGCTTGTAAATTGCTGAGTGAAATTTGCCACGTCCCCTTCCTCTCCCTTGGGAATCATAAGATTGAGTTTGATGGCTCCTTCAATCCATATTTCCTTTACCTCTACCTTTACCTCTGTTGGCTTTATGTGGTATTGGAGAATAGTGATCAGTTAATACCTTCAATGATAATTCCTCCTTATCTTGGTGATTTAGCTTCCTTTCATATACCAGCAAGGAACTTTCAAATTCATCAAGATCATTTGCCTCCTCAATAGCATAGACAACAAAATTATATTTTGGTGTTATTGAACGAAGTATCTTTTCAACAACAGTAACATCTTGTGTCTTATCACCATGGGTCCTCAATTTGTTGACAATTGCCATTGTCCTAGAAAAATAGTCAGTAACAATCTCACCCTCTTTCATTCAAAGTATATCAAACTCCAAACAAAGTGCTTGAAGCTGCTACCTCTTTGTCTTTGCGGTTCCTTGGTACTTTTTCTTCATTGAATCCCAAATTTGCTTAGAGGTAACTCTCCAAGATTTTCCAATCAATTGCCTGAAAGAGATAATTTTTGGCTTTTAGATCCTTCAATTTTAAAGCCTCCAACTCTGCCTTTTGAGCTTCTAACATCCCAGTGGTTGGTTCTGCTACCCCATATTCAATCACATTCCAATACTCTTTAGACCTCAAAAAATTCTCCATCAGCATGCTCCAATGATCATAGTGACCATCAAAGCGAGGAATTGCTGGCTACACAAACGTTTCAGAGGCCATCTTTGCTGCTACTGCTGCTGCCTTCGATCTCTGAACAAACCAAACTCTGATACCAGATGTTGAATAAAAGGGGCCAAATAATGGAATACTCTCTCAGGAATTTTAACAAACAGTTGGTGAGCACAATAAATAATGAAGAAAACTAAGCAATTTGAGAAGTAAAGATCACAAGATGATCTGTAAAATAATTGAATAGGAAGAAATATATTTCAAAATAATAAATATCAGATAACAATCAAATGGCCCATAAATAGTCAACGTGCCAACCAACAAAGCTACAAAATAACAACAACTATACTAAAAACTAAAACACGTTAAACTACTTCCTAATAACTAAGAAACACAAAGACACGTACAAAGAAATGGCTAAATACCAGGAAAATTCTAAAGCTTATCCAACAGCATCTTGGTGAGAGTCCTCCTTCCACTCTTTGTTCTTTTTCTTTTTTCTGGTCATCTTTTCATAAAGAAGGGTTTAAAATTTTGATAGTATCATCTCTGTAAATATGCTCTGTTAGCAGATAAATGTAAAAAAAGCAAAAGCAAGAAACCAGCAGAGTCTTTATATTTACTTCAGAAACTTACTCTTCATGCAAAAATTGTAACATCAAAGTGTTATTAACAAATACATCATGATACCGTTTGATTTGGTATTTCGGTTGCGATGTAAGGCAACTCATCGGTCCACTCAACCCAACTGCTATAAACGGCCCATTACCCTTCAGCCCTAATCTAGTCTCTACCCAAATAAAAAGAAAATTACAGGGTTGCCACTTTGGCGGATAAAACCCTTCGCAGCCTAGCCATCCCCATCCGCTTATCCACCCATCTCATCGCACTCAAAGAATCAAAGTTTGGATAGCGGCCCAAAGAGTCCAAATCTTACTTCCGTCTTTCTACTCCTGTATGACTCTTGGCGATTCACTTGATTTTATTGGGTGTAAAAGCGTAAATTAGGTACACGAGCAAAATGATAAATGTTTAAAACAAACTTTTAGTACACACCATACAAAGAGTATGCAAAACGTTTAAAAAAAAAAAAACTGAGGATAATTTTTATTTTATTTATATTTTTTAAAAAGATAAATTCGGTAATATGATGCATAATTTAAGTCAAAAAATAATTACAATTAAAGTAGAAAATAAATATTTGTTTTACTTCAAATATGAAAAACAACAATTAATCTAAAAATGTACTAACAGCCCTTGGTGGGTTGACAATGGGCAGCAAAAATCCTAACTTGTTCCAAGACTTAAATTTTTATAGGAATAGTTGTAATATTTTCTCTTTCCCAAAAAAAAAAAAAATCTTGAATAAATTTTAAATTAGTGAGGAATGTTATTCTAGGGTAAATAAAGTATTTAAAAACCTCAATGAATGACTTAACGATTAAAAACTTGAAACTCTAAGTTGAAGATTTTAAATTCGAATCTTGAGTTAAATGCAGAGAGATTTGGGAATAGGATAGTCTATTCCTTTTTGTATAACTCATCATCAGTTGTACCAAAAAAATGAAAAATAAAAAAATAAAGTATTAAAAACATGTGGATGATCACATTTTGCGAGTTGAATATAATAGTAAGTGTCATTTGAAGTTTTCCTCGATTCAAACCTCACTACTACAACTAAGCCTCATGATCTACCTAATGTCAATCCGATTCCCTCTTACTCTCCTTCGGTTTCCCTTGAGTCATCTATCCAGCCTTTTACCAATCAACCCTAACAGACACGTCCCATAACAACAATGTTGTAGGTTGGTACTAGCCTCACGTTTTACCCTCTTTGCTTACTTGTAGTACTACTCTCAAAGAACCACAAACCTTTCGAGAACCTAGTAAGCTTTCTGAATGGAGGTTTGCAATGGTGGATGAGTTCTCTACTTTAATTAGAAATAACACCTCGTCTCTTGTGTCATATCCTTCAAATGCTAATATTGTTGTTTCAAGGTGGGCGTATCAAATTAAGCAGCGAGATGATGGTTCCATTAAGCGTTTCAAAACTTGCCTTGTTGCTTAAGGTTATACACAATAACTATATATTGATTATGATAATACCTTTAGTCCTGTGGTGAAGTCTATTACCATTAGAACTATTTTAGCACTTGGCGTAATGCATACATGTCTCAGCCTCCTGCATTTGTCGATCAAAATCATCCTAACTATGTTTGTCGCTTGCATCATGCTCTTTATGAATTGAAACAAGCAATTCATGCTTGATTTGAGAGGTTTGCTTCTTTTCTCTATAGTCATGGCTTTTCTCAAGCTTGTTCTCATAACTTTATATTTCTTTATCATTCCAATGGTGCCATGGCTATTCTTTTGCTTTATGTGGATGATATTGTGCTCACAACTTCAACAACATTTCTTCTTCATGCTATTATCTCTTTGTTGAAAAGTGAGTTCTTGATTACTAATTTGGGGCAACTTAATTATTTTCTAGGCATTAATGTTCACTTTAATTTTGATGGTTCATTTCTTTCTCAATCCAAATATCTTCTTGAGTTGCTTGAAAGGAGTGCAATGGTTGATTGTAAACCTGTGGCCACCCCTATGGCTATCTAAACAAAACTATTTTCTAATGTTAGGCCATCTTTCTCTTATTCAATATTCTTCGCAGCATTGGGGTACTTTATAGTATCTCACCTTTACACGTCCTAACATTGCCTTTGCTATTAGTTAGGTTTATCAACATATGCATGCATCTACATATGATCATTTTCTTGTTGTTAAGAGGATTTTGCAGTATTTGAAAGGTACTTTGAATTATGGTCTTCAATTGTTTTGCAATTCTTCTCTTTCCTTACATATGTTTATCAATGCTGATTAGGTTGGTTGTGTGGACACGAGACGATCTATTTAAAAACTTTTCTTTAAATTTGAATGTGAATGGTAGAATCTGTTCTTAATAATGGTAAAATTCAATGTAATATACCGACAATTAATGAGCTGTTCATCTACGTCCTTAATGGAGTATTAATATTAAAAAAAAATACTTCCTTTAAACTAATTTAGTGAGAAGAAAAAGAAAGATGAAGACATCCTATTATTAAAATGTCAAGATATTCAATCACAACTATTAAATGTATGGATTATAGTGTATGTCTTAATTTTATCAAATTCATCATGTAGCTATTATTAGACATCCTAGTATTTTTAATATCAAGACGTTTGTGATTGCAACGAACCAATGAGTCTTCCCTAGTCTAAGTCTTCTCTTCAAACAGACCTGCAAAGCCTTGAAGTTGATTCTTAGATGCTTAAATCAGCAATAATCAAATTTACCTTTAAGAAAGACTAAAAGAAGCTTTATGTTGGTTTTTAATTACCTTTCAGAGTTAACCCCTGGGGGTATTTATAAACTTTAATGAGGTACCCATGTGACTTGTTTAACGAGATAATCAAAGTTTGACATGTCCAGTA